TGTGTGTGCTCTGTCAGAGGTGCTGCCGGTGATCGGTGTGTGTGCTCTGTCAGAGGTGCTGCCGGTGATCGGTGTGTGTGCTCTGTCAGAGGTGCTGCCGTGATCGGTGTGTGTGCTCTGTCAGAGGTGCTACCGGTGATCGGTGTGTGTGCTCTGTCAGAGGTGTTGTCGGTGATCGGTGTGTGTGCTGTCAGAGGTGCTGCAGGTGATCGGTGTGTGGTGTCAGAGGTGCCGCTGGTGATCGGTGTGTGCGCTGTCAGAGGTGCTGCCGGTGATCGGTGTGACAACGCCTATACTAAACGGCAAAGTCAGCCGGGCCACACAGATATCACGTGTCACATGACACCCCCAGACACAACCAACTACTACTTCTCCCGCCCCCCTCACCGCATCCAACAATATTATAAAAGTGTGGAAACTTTTTGAAGACCCCTCATAATGATGATAATAATAATAATAGTTATATATAATAAGAATGATAGTGATCTGTAATAATAATAATAATAATAATTGTAATATATAATAAGAATGATAGTGATCAGTAAGAATAATAATAGTGTTCAGTGATAACATTAATAATAATAGCAATCAGTAATATTAATGTCAGCTATAATAATAAAAATAATAATTCAGATTATAATAAATATAAAATTAATAGTGATCAGTAATAATACTAAAAAACATAATACTAGAGATCAGTAATATTAATTAAAAAATAAATATTAGTGATCAGTTTTATTACCAAAAAATAATTATAATAGTGATTTGTGGTACTAAAAAAAAAAATCAATAATAATAGCGATCAGTAATAATAAAAATAATAATAATAGTGATCACGATAATAATAATGTTGATTGGTGATAATAATATTAGTGATCAGTAATATTAATAAAAACAATAATAGTGATTAGTAATAATGATAATAGTGACCAATGGTGATGAGCGATGTCGGTGGCGATGATCTGTGTCGGTGGCGATGATCTGTGTCGGTGGCGATGTCAGTGGTGATGATCGATGTCGGTGGCGATGAGTGATGTTGGTGGGGATGAGTGATGTCAGTGGTGTTGATCGGTGATACTGTGCTGTGGTATGTGATGATCGGTGATCTGTGTCGGTGGCGATGAGCGATGTCTGTGGTGATGAGCGATGTTGGTGGCAATGTCGGTGGCGATGAGCGATGTCGATAAATGATGTCGGTGGCGATGAGTGATGTCGGTGCCGATTAGTGATGTCAATGGTGATGATCGGTGATACTGCGCTGTGGTATGTGATGATCTGTGTCGGTGGCGATAAACAATGTTGGTAGTGATGAGCGATGTCTATGGTGATGAGCGATGTCGGTGGCGATGAGTGATGTCAGTGGCGATGAGTGATGTCGGCGGTGATGAGCGGTGTCGGTGGTGAAGAGCGATGTCGGCGGTGATGAGCGATGTCAGTGGTGATGATCGGTGACACAGTGCTGAGTTATAGGAAGCACGCTGCTCCCAGTGATGGGAGGTTCGGTGATGATCGGTGGTGTCGGTTGATGCGGTCCCTCCCCCCCATTACCCCGGCGTGTGTACAGCTCCCCTGTGACGTCACTCTCCGCTCTACACGCCGGACACTTCCCAGCCTCTCCATTGTGACATCACGGAGGTGGGCGGGCCGCGGAGGGAGGGCGCGCTCTGCGCATGTGTGTTCGGGATCAGAGAGCGGAGGGAGGGGAGAGATGGCATGTAACGGGAAACCAACCGATCTCTATATACACAGCACCGATCTCCATAGCAATCACCCATAACATTCTGACCACTCACAGGTGAAGTGGGTTATGCAGGGGTCAGTGGAGGGTAATGCAGGGTTCAGTGGGGGGTAATTCAGGGGTCAGTGGAGGGTAATTCAGGGGTCAGTGGGGGGTAATTCAGGGGTAATGCAGGGTCAGTGGGGGGTAATTCAGGGGTCAGTGGTAGGTAATTCAGGGGTCAGTGGGGGTAATGCAGGGTTCAGGGGTAGGTAATTCAGGGGTCAGTGGGGGGTAATGCAGGGGTCAGTGGGGGGGGGGGTAATTCAGGGGTCAGTGGGGGGCAATTCAGGGTGCCTGTGTATGTCCAATGCTGGGGTAGAAGAGGCTGCACATGCTCAGTGCACACAGAACACCCCCCCCCCACCCGAGACATGTCTTTAATATCTCCTTACAATGCTGTTGTCCCCCCCCACAATCCATACCAGACCCTTATCCGAGCAGCCCGGCAGGTCAGGAAAAGGGAACCATACCAGGCCACATGCCCTCAACATGAGGGAGTGCTTTGGGGCAAGGGACCCCTCCCCAAAGCACATTGTCCCCATGTTGATGGGGACAAGGGCCTCTTCCCCACAAGCCTGGGCTGTTGTTGTGGGGGTTTGCGGGTGGGGCTAATCGGAATCTGGAAGCCCCCCAATGTGAACGATGTCTGTCACCACCCGGCCGTCTGCCTGCTCCACTGGCTTGACAGTTCTTAAATATGTAAGAGGCTGGGCCACCCAGTGACATCACGGGCGTGGCCCCACCTCCTTGTGGCATCATCAATGATGTCACGCAAAAAAAAAAAAAAAAAAAGGCTCCGCTGCCTCCTGGCCATCTGCCTGCTCCGCTGGCTTGACAGTTCTTAAATATGTAAGGGCTTGACAGTTCATAAATATGTAAGGGGCGAGGCCACCCAGTGACATCACAGGTGTGGCCCCACCTCCTTATGGCGTTATCAATGATGTCACATGGAAAAAAAAAAGGCTCTGCTCCCGACGCTGCCTCCCGGCTGTCTGCCTGCTCTGCTGGCTTGACAGGTCTTAAATATGTAAGGGGCGGGGCCACCCAGAGACATCACGGGTGTAGCCCCACCTCCTTGTGGCGTCATCAACCGCATGCTGAGTCAATGACATGCTGAGTCAGTGACCTCACGCGTGTGGCCCCACCTCCTTATGGCATCATCATGCTGAGCCAATGATGTCACAAGGAGGTGGGGACATACGTGATATCACTGGGAGTCAGCGTTGGGAGCGGAGCCTTTTTTTTTTCCGGGTGGCGGTGGACATCGCTCACATGGGGAGGCGGGATCTGGGGGCCCCCTTGATAAAGGGGGCTTCCAGATTCCGATAAGCACCCTGCTTGCAGACCCCCACAACCAGCGGCCAGGGTTGTGGGGAAGAGGCTCTTGTCCCCATCATCATGGGGACAAGATGCTTTGGGGGCCCCCCCCACATTTCCTGACCTGCCAGGCTGCATGGTCAGATAAGGGTCAGGTATGGATTTTGGGGGGAACCCCCACGCCATTTTTTTGTAATTGTGTGGGAGTTCCCCTCAAAATCCCGCAGAACGAATTCAATTCGTAAACCAAGGTACGCCTGTATTAACCTCTCTCGCCCTCCTCAGGATTCCCCCCCCCCCCCCCCCCCCCCCCCCCGTTCCTGACCAGGCCACCTTTTGCGATACGGCGCTGCGTTACTTTGACAATTGCGCGGTCATGCAACGCTGCACCCAAATGAAATTTACGTCCTATTTTCCACACAAATAGAGCTTTCTTTCGGTGGTATGTAATCGCCTGTGCGGTTTTAATTTTTTGCGCTATAATAAAAAAAAAAAGACTGCCGATTTTGAGAAAAAAATATTTTTGACTTTTTGCTATTAAACATGTCCAGTAGAAAAGTTTGAAAAATCAAATTTCATCATAAATTTCGGCCAAAACGTATTCTGTTCCGTGTCTTCGCTAAAAAAAATCCCGATATGTGTAAATGAATCGGTTTACATGAAAGTTATAGCGTCTACAAATGGCAGTATAGATACTGGGATTTTTTTTTTCTTATACTAATAATGGCGGCAATCAGCGACTTTTGCAGGACTGCGGTGGGCATTCTGACACCTGGGGGGACTGACCTGGTGTCACTGACATCCCCAGTGACACCAAACAGCGATCAGTGCTAAAAAGAAAACCTGACACTATTAATGGCACTAGGCAGGAGGGGGTTAATGTGGGGCAATCAAAGGGTTAACTGTGTGCTGGGTGTGTTTTACTAGGGGGCGGGGTCTGTGTGCTTCACTGTAATCACACTGCTCTGGATGGCTATGCTGTGCAGTGTGCCCGAGCTGACAGGGAGGACTGTAAGTAAACAAAACAGTTCTTTCTCCTCCCCAGATCTTCTGAAATCCCTGGGCGCCGGCGAGTAATTACCGTCCAGAACCGGGTGATTGACAGCTGCGAATGGCAATGCGGCTGGTGCCCACCCTCTACCCGGAAATGCGAAATCACCTACTTACACGTGATTTTGCGCACACCCTTGCCGCCCTGTAGCAGTATTTCTGCCATAGGACGGTCGGGAAGCGACTAATTGGCTTCAATTTGTTAGCGTAGCTAAATTGACTAGTACATCTAACGCTCCTCTCCCCCTCAGGCCGACATTGCTGCTGTCCAAAGGTGCCTCCTGTGCTCCTTCATCCAGATTGTCATTGTCTTGCTTTAACAACGGACAAAGAACTGCTCATGGTGATTCTTTTTTCCATGAACATCTAAAAAAAGTTAAAGTCAATGACACTCCTGGGATATTGATCTGCTCAGGTAAGTAGCAGAGGGGGTTGTTCATCAGTTTCAGCTGCTTTGGTGTTCATGAAATTAACAACAGGTGCACTAGATGGGCAGCAATGAGACGACCCCCAAAACAGGAATGGTTTTACAGGTGGAGGCCACTGCCATTTTCTTCCCTACTCATCTTTTCTTACTGTTTTTCACTCATTTTGTATTTGGCTAGGGTCAGTGTCACTACTGGTAGCATGAGGCGATACCTGGACCCTACAGAGGTTGCATAGGCAGTCCAACTCCTCCAGGATGGACATCAATACATGCCATTGCCAGAAGGTTTGCTGTGTCTCCCAGCACAGTCTCAAGAGCCGGGAGGAGATTCCAGGAGACAGGCAGTTCCTCTAGGAGAGCTGGACAGGGGTGTAGAAGGTCCTTAACCCATCAGCAGGACCAGTATCTGTTCCTTTGTGCAAGGAGGACCAGGATGAGCACTGCCAGAGCCCTACAAAATGACCTCCAGCAGGCCACTGGTGTGAATGTCTCTGACCAAACCATCAGAATCAGACTTCATGAGGGTGGCCTGAAGGCCCGACATCCTCTAGTGGGCCCTGGGCCATTTGCCATTGAACACCAGAATTGGCAGGTCCACCACTGGTGCCCTGTGCTTTTCACAGATGAGAGCAGGTTCACCCTGAGCACATGTGACAGACGTGAAAGGGTCTGGAGAAGCCATGGAGAACGTTCTGCTGCCTGTAACATAATTCAGAATGACCATTTTGGTGGTGGGTCAGTGATGGTCTGGGGAGGCATATCCATGGAGGGACGCACAGACCTCTACAGGCTAGACAATGGCACCCTGACTGCCATTAGGTATGGGGATGAAATCCTTGGACCCATTGTCAG